GTGACGAGTAGACCAGACAAACACTGACTGGAACAAAGGGCTTGATAAAGGCTAGAACGAACGGGGAACACCTGGGAGAGGGAGGAGACAGAGACTACAGACAGGTGAGGATCCTAACAGGGAAGGTGGGAAAAGGGGCGGGGCAAAGAACCAAAACAAAAACAAAGAGGAACCATGGAAACACAGGAACAAAGAGGAACCATGACCAAAACATTCAGAGAGTAAAACACATTTAAAACATTTAATTAAATTCAGGAGTTTATTATCAGTGAACTGTACTAATACATTAAAGCTGTAGCCTTGAATATTGGTGCCCTTTTCCTTTTACCACAATGACCAAACCATCACTTGTAGTGAATAAACAGACCACTGACATTTTAATTAGGAAGATTAGATACATTTTTGGGCAATAAGTGAAAGTTAGTCTTACATTATGATGGTTTATTTGTTCACCTACCAAAACACTTCAACTGACTAAGATTCTGCTGCACAAAAACACAGCATCTCATCTGTCAGTACTCCCAACATTTATCAGCTTCAGCTGCTCCCTGAACTGCTGAGATGAGACTGTAGACATTAGAGCTGTAGACAGTGGTGAAGCTGAGCGGTCAGTCAGTATTTACAGCTCTTCAGCTGCTCCCTGAACTGCTGAGATGAGACTGTAGACATTAGAGCTGTAGACAGTGGTGAAGCTGAGCGGTCAGTCAGTATTTACAGCTCTTCAGCTGCTCCCTGAACTGCTGAGATGAGACTGTAGACATTAGAGCTGTAGACAGTGGTGAAGCTGAGCGGTCAGTCAGTACAGAGAGCCGCTGGGAGGAGATGCTAATCCTAATCTGATTGCAGCCCAAGGCCTGAACAGACAAGCGAGTTTAGCTAGGTTAACTGCTTAAGCTAGCCTCACCTAGCTAACATCAGTGACAGACACAGAGATACAGAAAGAAGAGCCCAAGTATCTGTTAGTGAGGTTGTTTATCTCATTTCATCACTACTCACCTTTTAAAAGTGGAGTTTGACCACTGAAGTAACCAAGGTCACCATTCCACTTGATCCAGTAGTGCTAAAAAAAAAGATTATTTTTTGATCTGTAAAATGTCACCAGGTCTGTAACGTCTCTGTAAAGACTGTAAGCGACTGTCTGGATGAGGTTTTATCAGTGAATAAACACGATAAAACAGCTGGCGTTAACGCGGTGAGTGAGCTAGCTACTGTAAACAGCTCGTAACGGTCATGTTTGACTTTAAACAGACGTATCGAACACTGGAGACCACTCGCACTACAGAGAGCATCCAGGGGGCGGAGTCAGACAGATCCTGCACCGTGCATGCCATGTTCTAATTGGTCTAAAATTCCTGTCAGTTGCTGCTTCACCCACTTCACACAGCTCTGCTCTACTGAATGAACTATGCTGTGTTTTAAATCTAGACAAAGCTGAAAACTCTTGAAATGCAGTTTAATTTTGCTGAGAATCACTGAAGCAGCAGCGTCCTAATACAATATAAAAGAGCAAAGCTGCACTTTTAAACAAAAACACCAACACCAATACATTCGTTTACAATCAGTTGTGTTTTAAATCAAGTACCTTGAGATACTGCAAAAATCTGTAATGTAAAATCAATAAGGGACAAGACCCTCACCATGACTTCATCTAGCTTAGGGGTGCCCAAACTTTTTGTATTGGAGTACAATGTCTGTGGTGGACCAGGGGCCAAAAAGACAAAACAGAATACAAAAGGCGAAGACGTTTAACATTAAGCCAAAACGTAATGCTTAAATATAATAAAAAAGAAATAAAAATAATTGTATAAAAATAATAATTATAATAAATTATAATATAAAAATGTTTGTAGATTATTTCAAATCAGTTCAGAATTGTTTTAGATTGACTTCTAACTTGTTGTCTCTGGTTACAACTGTACAAAACTGATAAACAGCAATGTTGTGGCCTGTTTTCTGCAAATGAACCAGGATGTGACAGTGATTGTGACATTTTTCCGACGGAGACAGATTTAAAAAGTTATTCTCTAATGGCCTTAAATGCTGTAAGGAACATTAGTTTAAACATTTTAATACAAGGTAAATGTTAAAAAATGTTGAATTTGTTCTTTTGCTACTGTAAACACACTTCTGTAATAATCTACGACAGAAAATCACAAAAGTGATGTCCTGTTTACAGACGTTACTGAGTGAGCATACAGTCAGGAGGCAAAACGCCTTTAACTTAGCCTTAACTCTACTTTTTTTCTTATATGACTGTACTCAGATGTGCAGAAAAGTATTAATACTGTGTTTGGATCTGCAGTAAAGTATTAATGCTGTGAGATATTTCCCAGAATACATTTAAAATCTACAGTAGTTTACTCTAGAACACTGTTGAGCATACAAAGAATGCTGTAAAACAACAAAATTCATTTCAGTGTATTTTAAAAAGTCTTTGTTATGCAGCTGAAATGTTTGCTTTATTTAATCAAATCATTAGTACAATGTCTTTATACAAATGACCAAAATATATATATTCCTGTCCTCAACATAACTGTTCTCATATGCTTTACAGTGAATAAATGCACCTATATTTCTCATATGGACTTCAGTTCTTATATTTTTCTGTATTTCATACTGAAATGAAAGATTAATCTCCCAGACATAATTAAGGATTTTGATATATGAAACAATTGAATTCAATCACTATAAGATACAAAGCTTTAGAAATTCTGGCTTTTTATGTACTTAATCTCAGATAAGTTCCAACTCAGAATTATATATACTGCCATATTTTGAATTTACAAATTCTGTGTTAGTGGTTAATGATTGTTTGAGGAGTTGTATAATGAGTTCAGGTGTATTTATTTAATTAATTAATTAAAGTAATAGTCCAAATTGTCCTGACAGGCCATGTGAATGTTATTGTATTTTTTGTTTTCCATGATATCTGAATATATATTTCACAGAATTATGTGCTTGCTGTGTTTGTACTGCAGCTGGTTTTTGCTGTATGTAAATTGTTCCTTTTTTTCTTTCTTTCCTGCAGATTGTCTGGTTGTATGGTGACAGATGAAGGCTGTTCTTCTCTGGCTTCAGCTCTGAAATCAAACCCCTCCCACCTGAGAGAACTGGATCTGAGCTATAATCACCCAGGAGAGTCTGGAGTGAAGCTGCTCTCTGATCTACTGGAGGATCCACACTGCGCCCTGGAGAAACTACAGTGAGTTACTGACTTACTGTCTCTGTACACAGACTGACTGTAATTATACACATTATACACAGATTGACTGTAATTATACACATTATACACAGATTGACTGTAATCATACATATCATACACATTACTAACTGTAATTATACATATCATACACATTACTAACTGTATTTATGCATATTATACACATTACTAACTGTAATCATTCATATTATACACATTACTAACTGTAATCATACATATCATACACATTACTAACTGTAATCATACATATCATACACATTACTAACTGTAATTATACATATTATACACATTACTAACTGTAATCATTCATATTATACACATTACTAACTGTAATTATACATATCATACACATTACTAACTGTAATCATTCATATTATACACATTACTAACTGTAATCATACATATCATACACATTACTAACTGTAATTATGCATATCATACACATTACTAACTGTAATTATACATATTATACACATTACTAACTGTAATCATACATATTATACACATTACTAACTGTAATCATTCATATTATACACATTACTAACTGTAATTATATATATATTACATACATTACTAACTGTAATCATACATATTATACACATTACTAACTGTAATTCTACATATTATGCTTATGCAGTAGAACACGAGAGGGAGTGTGTTATTGCGAAATAACATCACGGCTGTGATCTGGCCGTGATGTTATTGGCGATAACACACTCCTCGAGTGTTCTATTGCTCTGTACAACAGTTAAATAAATAAAGTAATAAATTAATAAACTGGGCCGTGAACGCGGCGTTTAATATGTTTTAATGTTCGCAGTTCCTTCACCAAATTATACAAACCGGATTCCAAAAAAGTTGGGACACTAAACAAATTGTGAATAAAAACTGAATGCAGTGATGTGGAGGTGCCAACATCTAATATTTTATTCAGAATAGAACACAAATCACAGATCAAAAGTTTAAACTGAGAGAATGTATCATTTTAAGGGAAAAATATGTTGTTTCAAAATTTCATGGCGTCAACAAATCCCAAAAAAGTTGGGACAAGGCCATTTTTACCACTGTGTGGCATCCCCCCTTCTTCTTACAACACTCAACAGACGTCTGGGGACAGAGGAGACCAGTTTCTCAAGTTTAGAAATAGGAATGCTCTCCCATTCATGTCTAATACAGGCCTCTAACTGTTCAATCGTCTTGGGCCTTCTTTGTCGCACCTTCCTCTTTATGATGCGCCAAATGTTCTCTATAGGTGAAAGATCTGGACTGCAGGCTGGCCATTTCAGTACCCGGATCCTTCTCCTACGTAGCCATGATGTTGTGATTGCTGCAGAATGTGGTCTGGCATTATCTTGTTGAAAAATGCAGGGTCTTCCCTGAAAGAGACGACGTCTAGATGGGAGCATATGTTGTTCTAGAACCTGAACATAGTTCTCTGCATTAATGGTGCCTTTCCAGACATGCAAGCTGCCCATGCCACAAGCACTCATGCAACCCCATACCATCAGTGATGCAGGCTTCTGAACGGAGCGTTGATAACAACTTGGGTTATCCTTGTCCTCTCTGGTCCGGATGACATGGCGTCCCAGTGTTCCATAAAGAACTTCAAATCGTGACTCATCTGACCACAGAACAGTCTTCCATTTTGCCACACTCCATTTTAAAAGACCCCTGGCCCAGTGCAAACGTCTGAGCTTGTGGAGCTTGCTTAGAAATGGCTTCCTCTTTGCACTGTAGAGTTTCAGCTGGCAACGGCGGATGGCACGGTGGATTGTGTTCACTGACAATGCTTTCTGGAAGTATTCCTGAGCCCATTCTGTTATTTCCTTGACAGTGGCATTCCTGTTTGAGGTGCAGTGACGTTTAAGGGCCCGGAGATCACGAGCATCCAGTAGAGTTTTACGGCCTTGACCCTTACGCACAGCGATTGTTCCAGATTCTTTGAATCTTTTGATGATGTTATGCACGGTTGATGATGATAACTTAAAAGTCTTTGCTATTTTACGCCGGGTAACACCATTCTGGTATTGCTGCACTATCTTTCTGCGCAACAATGGTGGAATTGGTGATCCTCTTACCATCTTGGCTTCAGAGAGACACTGACACTCTGAGAAGCTCTTTTTATACCCAATCATGTTGTCAATTGACCTAATTAGTGTTAATTGGTCTTCCAGCTGTTCGTTATATGCTCAATTTCCTTTTTCCAGCCACTTATTGCTACTTGTCCCAACTTTTTTGGGATTTGTTGACGCCATGAAATTTTGAAACAACATATTTTTCCCTTAAAATGATACATTCTCTCAGTTTAAACTTTTGATCTGTGATTTGTGTTCTATTCTGAATAAAATATTAGATGTTGGCACCTCCACATCATTGCATTCAGTTTTTATTCACAATTTGTTTAGTGTCCCAACTTTTTTGGAATCCGGTTTGTAGTTCCTTAACGAGCAGCTTGTTGCTACGTCAGAGTAACGAGCTCCGCCCACTCACTGCACAGCCGGCAGTTCGTTCTCCAGCTCCTTACACTAAACTCCCAAACTGTCATCACCACTGAGCAGCTTTTCAGTCGGCAGCTGTGACAGAAGAACAGCTAAACAACCTGGAATCAGCCAGAAATGAACCCAATACCATTCGCCAAACGTGTAGTCTGATCTTCAGAGTCTGACCAAATCAGACTGAGCCATAAAACTGCCGCAATATCAGGTTTAGCTCAGTTTTGTCAGTTTTTGCCAGATCAGTATTAATGTTGTTTTGTTCCAGCCAGTCTGTAAAGCATCTTACAGCCCATTTAGTTTGGCGAATGGTGTTGGGTTCATTTCTGGCTGATTCCAGGTTGTTTAGCTGTTCTTCTGTCACAGCTGCCGACTGAAAAGCTGCTCAGTGGTGATGACAGTTTGGGAATTTAGTGTCGTCTCATCTTCAGAGTCTGACCAAATCGGCTGTCGGTCAAATGTGATCTTAAAAGTGTCCAGTTTTCTGTTTGTGGCAAAGTAAGAAGTAAAAACGTTCAAATGTCTTGAGCGTCTCCTACAGCTGTCAAAGTCGTTGCTTAGCAACTGTGTCTCAGCGGAGTGATACAGTGTTTGTGAAAAAACATTATACATATAAAACACATCACTGACTGTAACTATATACAGTTATACACATTACTGACTGTAACGTTTTACTGTAGATGTGTTTGTCTTCATAATGAGGTGGTGAATTACTGTCATTCTGAAGTGTGGAAATAATAATAATAATAATAATAATATATTATATATTATTATTATTGTAATAATAATAATAATAATAATTATTATTATTATTATACTATTATTATTGTTGTTGTTTTATTGTTGTTATTATCAGATCATTTTATTGGCCTAATAATAATAATAATAATAATAATAATAATAAAGACTGTTTAATTGACAGTAGGAACAAACACAGTACTGACATTACTAATAATAATTGACAAAAACAAGTATTCTGTCAAGAAATGTTTATGGTAGAAATGATCATGGTATGGTTGCCAAGCAACCATGGACCACTGCATGAGGAGAACGTTCAGTCACCCATCGCTGTATATTGAGGTCATTTTATAAAATGTTTAACTTTTTTGTTGTACAGTAATGAACATATGATAATGCAGCACTGTTTAATGCAGAGACTTTAACTTTATAAGTCCTTTTTGGTCCCCAAATTACCAGTTAGTGAGTCTTATTTAGCACCAATCCAGTGGGCCCCTCTTCTCACACTGGGGCTGAATCTCAAACAGCTCCCTGCTCCCTACATAGTGCACTACGTAGGAGTTTAAACACTGGATCCTGAACTCCAACAGTGCGTAATACAGCTAATAAACAGTCATTTGGGATTCAGTCCCATCCACACTCGACACACAGTCACTGTTTGGCTGCAGAAGCTAGAATTTCTAAACTTCCCTAGAACACTATTTAGGGAGTACAGAGCCGTTTGGGATTCAGCCTCAGTTTAACGCGGCTTCTGACTGAAACACGGACATTTGAAGTGTTTAAGTCATTCTTTAGTCTTTTATATTGCAGTTTTACAGTAAATCATATCGTAAGTGCTTTAATTCAAGTCTGTGATATTAATGATGGAGTTGTTTAGCATGTTTGCTATCTTTTAGCCTGTTAGTTCTAGATAAGAAAATAAGCCGTCAGCCCCTCAGTTTAAACAGAACCGGGTTCTTACTTCGTCAGTGCACTCGGTGCTCCATGCGAGCAGCATTACAGTCAAAGATTAATCCATTAGGAACACAAGAGTTACTCGTGCCGTGGTGCAGTGATACAGAGTTCAGCTGTTGTGAGGGGCTATCGGTGGGCAAATATCAAATATTTTACAACGGCTTCAAACACGGCTCAGCCAATCAGATTTTAGGACCGGAACTCTCCGTTTAAGGGCTGATTTATACTTTGTGTTTTTATTTTATTTTTTAATTTGTTGTTTAATAAAATGTGCTGAGGTGCAGTGAAGTTCTTCTTTATTGGACACAGAGAGTTTATTAATACTGTAATATGATATCATACTTCAGGAAGTGTTGATGATAAATGATCCACCACAATATTTATTTTTCATGACATTTGATCAGCTGGAAAAGACAAAATAGGGCCAAATTTAATAAATAATGATCTGAATTCAGTGTTTCTCTTTATAATCAGACATGCAGCTGTGAAGTGTTTTCAGTACTGACAATTTACAGCAGACGCTCTGACAAGCTTTTGTTCTGTGTGTGTGTGTGTGTGTGTGTGTGTGTTTGTTCTTCAGGGTGAATCATGGAGGGAAGATCAGGATGAAACCAGGACTGAAGAAATGTAAGAGACACACACACACACACACACACACACACACACACACACACACACACACACACACACACACACATTCTTGTAATTGCCCCAAAGTGAGGACCGGGTAAAAGCCCAGGGAGACTGAGGACCATGGTTTCTGCTGCATCTAGAGACACGCTGTTTGAGTGTTGAGCCACTAGATGTCGCCCACATGCGAGGGGTCACTCGAAACTCAATGAATAGTACAATTCGGTAAAAAGTGTTCTACCGCTGAACCGAGGAGCCGCTCGGCCGCTGAACCGAGGAGCCGCTCGGCCCCTAAGCCGAGGAGCCGCTCGGCCGCTGAACCGAGGAGCCGGCCATATGTTCCAGAGTACATAATAAAAGTCACGGTAGAGAGTGATTATTAAACATTTCCCGGATTCTGCAGGACTTTTGTGAGCTTTAGCGATTAGCATGGCGAGCGCTCTGAGCCGCCATCACCGCCAGAGCCTGCTGTGTGGAAGGAGCCCGCCTATAAGGCCGCCTGACCAATAGTGGCTGAGCAACAGAGGCTCTAGCCAATCAGGTTCTAGACCGCTCCGTACGGACGAGTAAGGAGTCCGCTCTGCTGCCCGAGCGCCGCCCCCAAACAGAACCACCGTTTCTGACTGGCTGAAACCTCCGTCAGTTAAAACACCGAGCTTTGCCCGCGATGGACTGAAATTCCCCCACCAATCAATACAAGTACAGGATCAGTGCAGCAACAGTGACGCCATACGAAACAACTCGCTCAGAAAACGACAACCGGCCGCTAAACGAGTTTAAAATGCTGAGACACAGCAACACAACATTCACCACACCCGCTGCTGCAGCACAAACCGCGATTACCGCTCAAAAAGCACAGAGTTACCACACAAACCACACAATCACCACAACACAACCCCCACAACACAAACCTGCACATCGCAAAGAAGCACAACAAGCTCACACTGCGCAGCGGCAGCCCTTAAACCCGCTCTCCTCTCCTTATGAAGACTAAAGCACTGGACAATGGCTGAAGACTGACCATTACATCCGCAATAAACCCAACGCCGAACAAATCTGACCAAATGAGGACAAATAAGCTGTAAAAGTGGCGATTTACTGAACCAAAGCGCTGAAGTTCATTAAAGCAGGTAGTTTAGCGAGTTTTGACCAGGAGAACGAGCCTGTTTACGCACGACTTGATGCTCTGAATCTAAGAATCGATTCTTGAACCCTTCGAGTCGACTCCTTTCCATCACTAGCGAAAAGCTGAATATAATGGACTCCTGAAGATGACTCAATTGAATCAACAGAATCGATTCCATTGTCTGAGACTCTCTGTCATTGGTGAGAGTCTCAGAGAATTGAATCGACCCTGTTGATTCAGTCGAGTCGTTTCCATCCAGTATATCCACACTGTACCGAGTCAAACTCTGTTTTAGTGATTAGTGAGTCTTTAGTTAAAAAGAGACGCTGTTAATTATGCTGTTCATTAACGTTTTGTTGTTTAAAAAAGGGACTGCAAGTTAAATTCCAACAGTAATTCAGCTCAAATCAGATCTAAAATGTTCTAAATGATCTAAAACGTTTATATATATATATATAATTTGTACGTATTGTACAGATCACTTCTCTGCTGAGGTGGTTGGCGTTATGTATATATGTATTATGTATGTATTTAACAGACACCTGATGTTGCTGATTATTAGAAAAACTAATAGACATTAGTTAAAGTTAGCGAACACTGGCTAATGTAATATCATGGGGTGCAACATGTTCCTGAGAGATACTCAGCTGTTCACGCTCTTGTATTGTATTAGCTAGGAATAAAGCGAGGGGCAGCTTACCAAGGCCGTGATTCTGGTCATGTATTTGAAGTGTTATTTACATATAAGACAGGACCTTCACCCATCAGCATAGCCAGAGTTTAATCCAGCAGGGCTGGGTTTCCCAAAAGCACCAATGTCATTGTTACCAAACACCAAAGTGAGCATTACATTCAACTCCCTCTACCAGTTACGATGTTCATCATCCTTCACTGGTTTGTCAAACATTCAGCAGCCTGAGAAAATATGGATGTGTCACTTTCTGATAATTCAGGTTGTCATTTAGAAGACATTCTTGCTCTAATATGGCCACTTCAGCTTGGTCTGTTAACCCCAGGGTCCTCCGGAGGGCCCACAGTTTTATTACACGCTTCTATACCTAAAAGAATAGCTCAGTTAGTTTGCACTGAAGTCCCTGTAGTTCCTGAATAATCAGCTGTAGTATGTAATGAGCCTGGGGTGTTAAGGGGTGAATTATTTGATTGAATAAATCAGATGAAACTGCAGAAACAGAAGAAACAATGCAGATTATTTTTGAACCAGAAACTAGTATGTCTTGGAGTCGTCATTGGCTGAAGAGATGAATGAATTTCCCCTTACTATCTATGGTCCATGAGTTTGTCTGATCTGGTAGCCATTGGTAATCAATAAGTGAATAATGATGCAGTGGAACTTGGAAAACTTTAAGAAATTTTACTTCTCAGTTTTTAAGAGTGACTGTTGCATAAACATAACTGTTCATAATCAACATGAATTATGACCAAGATAGTAACTATTATAGCCAACATGAATTTGACTCAGTTCTGTTGTGGATGAAGTATTTAACATCCCTCCATGTTGGAGATCTTAAGTCGTTCTCGATACATGAAATTCAGTCCTTTTTTCCTGGAACCTCGTAACGTTCAAGGAAAACTCCCAAATGTCTGAGTGCAGCAGCTCTTTCGTCGTCGCTCCACGCTCGCCTCCTGTGTTGAGCGGGTCTGAAAGCAGCAGAGAAGTGAAGTTAAACTGTAACAGTTGCGATGTGTGAACAGTCCGCCACCCAAATAATATCTGGACAACAGCGGGCCTGTGGTCAGAAACTGACCGATGATGAATGGGGCATGGGGTGGCTGATAAACTGTGCAGCAACAGGTGGACGACACTGACATGCCAAAATTAATGGGATCAGAACTCGTATCACCCACTCTCTGTCCATTACAGCAGCTCTGTTTACCATATAGTTATTTAGGTGGTGGATCATTCTCAGCACTGCAGTGACGCTGACACACTAACACTCCACCACCACGTCAGTGTGACTGCAGTGCTGAGAATGACCCACCACCCAAATAGTACCTGCTCTGTGGGGGTCCATGGGGGTCCTGACCACTGAAGAACAGGGTAACAAAGTATGCAGAGAAACAGACGGACTACAGTCTGAAACTGTAGAACTACAGAGTGAAACTGTGTGGTAAACAGAGCTGATATGATGGACAGAGAGTGTAGAAACAAGAGGTGGTCATAATATTCTGATAAGACTGTGTATAGTGAGCTGTAAGACAGGGGTTTCTAATAAAGTAGCCAATAAGTTTATATACAGGACAAGTGTACCTAATAAACAGCAACAAATCCCACAAATCCACTCATCTGAGTAACTATAAACTGATGAGCCAAACAACTTTTTCATCTTTAATTTGGCCACTGTAGTGTAATTTATCTAGTAATAGAGAACAAAACTGTGAATATCATGGTGACTCTCCAGTGATGTGGGACTCGCAGCCACCAGCTTATCCTGATTGTGCGTACCAAGTTTTATGAATGTGGCCCGTTATGTTTAAGAGGACATTCATACCAGTTCAGTATATGCAGAATAAAACTCACCACGATCTTCCACCTAAACAGATCACCAGTCTTCTCCATGAAGAGCCAGGGTGACTACATGTTTTCCGTCCAAGCAACCAGGATCAGACCTCATACTGCTAACAAACTCTTTAAAGACTGAGACCAAATGATGAAACGTGTGGACTCAGCTGTGCTTCTCCTTAAAGGGAATGAAAACCTGCAGTCAGACTGGCTCCTTGTGAATAAGACTGGTGAAAAGTGCAGGGCAGTGCTTTAGAATATACATGTTAAACTCGCTGGGCTGTTCCGTCAGCAGCTTCTTCTTCACCTTCTTCTTACAAATGGTAGGGGGACATAATCACCATCCTCCTCTGGGAAAGAAAACAAAACATCATTTTATTTTTGTACAACAGCTTTTCAAACACATTTTACAGAAGGTCATAACTGAAGGTGTCTCTGGTGATGAGATCACGATACTGCCAATCACATTCTCCCACGACCACTTGGGGTTTCTTACATCATTTCCACCTTTTTTCGTCCTCAGCCCAAATGAAGATGAGGCTTCTTGCTCCCTAGCGCCCCCCAGTCTCACAGTTAGTGCGTATCTTCCAGCAGGCCATGACGTGGCTATACATGTGTTACTTCACTGCAGTCAGGGATGCATGAAGATGCTTTCGTGTTCACACTACAAATGTAATGCAGTCATGCACGTCTCTGACCACCTCCGAATGTGGTTTGACCAATCGGATTACAGCGTCTTCCAGACACACTGTACCCTTTTCACACTTGTACTTAGTGCTGACCACTGATGATCAGATCACCCAGGACGCATGTTAATGCCAGGTCTGAACAAGGCCTTGGACCAAGTTATTAAAGGGATGAAGACTCACCATCCATTTCTGTTTGTTCATCACCATCTGTTTCCTCCCGTCTTTGCCGCTTTGGTGCTCTGTCTTTCCTTGGTGGGCTTTGTGCCTCATCAGCACCTGAAACTGGTTTTATAAACAAAATGAGCATCCTAGAAATATACGCATTAACACTCAGTTTCCCAGACAAGGATTAAATCTAGTCCTGGACTACTTTTTAGTCTAAGACAATACTTAATCTCTGTCTGGGAGACCAACCCAATATACATCATCATTCCCCAACAGGTGGACTACAGGCTTTAATGGACTCTGTTCACTTAAGACTCGTTACTCAGTTGGTTCAGGTAAAAACCGCACAGCACTTTTAACTGTGTGTTATACAGTGGTGCAGTAATGGAGCCTACAAATCTGTGTATTAGTTAGACAGTGATGTAGAACCAAAGACCATAAGAGGACGTGAACCTTTTCCTTCAGAATAGTTTTTTATTTGGCCATTTGGCCAAGAAAAAAACTAAACTGGTAAAAAAGGAATCTTGTATCAGAGCCCTTTAATTATTAATGATTTCTTTTCAAGATTCAGATTCAACTCAAGATTCGAGAGTTTTGTTGTGATCTGCACAGCAGAATCAGGCAGTTACACTGTACAGTGAAATTCTTACTCTGCTGTTCCTCCATTCACCAATATAACCTTAGAGAAAAGTAGTTATATGTGCAAAGTTGAAGGAAAAGATTAAAGGTACGTGTGCGTATGTGCAAATATGTAGAGCAGCGGTTCATAAAGTGCATGTTGAAGTAACAGATGTGTCTGTTTTCAACTGGATTTCATCAAGTATCTTATGAATATTTGTAAAATCTGGCGTTTATTAAGGCCAGGGTTCAGAACCTGTTTCTCTACCCAGATAATCCACAGTTAAAACAGCTCTACAGAAGCTGAACACTGAAGGTAGTTATTTCAGCCAAACACAGCTGTACTGTGTGAATTATTAAGAGATAAAAACTTACCTTTCGTTCCTGCACTTTCAACATCGTCTGGTTTCTTCTTTCGCTGCAGCTTTGCTGATCTGTCCTTCTGTGGGTCTTGTGCCTCAATGCTACCTGCAGTCAGTCATAATCATTGAGTTACACATCCTACAAAAACGCCTATGAACATAAAATATACACACAGTATGATGATCATTGTTGTGGGTGAGCAGAGTGAGAGAGTGGGCGATGGGAGAGCAGAGTGAGAGAGTGGGGGATGGGAGAGCAGAGTGAGAGAGGGGGGTGGGAGAGCAGAGTGAGAGTGGGGGGGGGTGGGAGAGCAGAGTGAGAGAGTGGGGGATGGGAGAGCAGAGTGAGAGAGTGGGGGATGGGAGAGCAGAGTGAGAGAATGGGGGATGGGAGAGCAGAGTGAGAGTGGGGGGGGTGGGAGAGCAGAGTGAGAGAGTGGGGGATGAGAGCAGAGTGAGAGAGTGGGGGATGGGAGAGCAGAGTGAGAGAGCAGGGGTGGGAGAGCAGAGTGAGAGAGCAGGGGTGGGAGAGCAGAGTGAGAGAGTGGGGGGTGGGAGAGCAGAGTGAGAGAGTGGGGGGATGGGAGAGCAGAGTGAGAGAGTGGGGGATGGGAGAGCAGAGTGAGAGAGCAGGGGTGGGAGAGCAGAGTGAGAGAGTGGGGGGTGGGAGAGCAGAGTGAGAGAGGGGGGTGGGAGAGCAGAGTGAGAGAGGGGGGGATGGGAGAGCAGAGTGAGAGAGGGGGGTGGGAGAGCAGAGTGAGAGAGTGGGGGGATGGGAGAGCAGAGTGAGAGAGTGGGGGGATGGGAGAGCAGAGTGAGAGAGTGGGGGATGGGAGAGCAGAGTGAGAGAGTGGGGGTGGGAGAGCAGAGTGAGAGAGTGGGGGTGGGAGAGCAGAGTGATAGAGTGGGGGGTGGGAGAGCAGAGTGAGAGAGTGGGGGATGGGAGAGCAGAGTGAGAGGGGGGGGTGGGAGAGCAGAGTGAGAGAGTGGGGGGTGGGAGAGCAGAGTGAGGGGGGGGTGGGAGAGCAGAGTGAGAGAGGGGGGGATGGGAGAGCAGAGTGAGAGAGCGGGGGATGGGAGAGCAGAGTGAGAGAGCGGGGGTGGGAGAGCAGAGTGAGAGAGTGGGGGGTGGGAGAGCAGAGTGAGAGAGTGGGGGATGGGAGAGCAGAGTGAGAGAGCAGGGGATGGGAGAGCAGAGTGAGAGAGTGGGGGATGGGAGAGCAGAGTGAGAGAGGGGGGGATGGGAGAGCAGAGTGAGAGAGGGGGGGATGGGAGAGCAGAGTGAGAGAGTGGGGGGTGGGAGAGCAGAGTGAGAGAGTGGGGGGTGGGAGAGCAGAGTGAGAGAGTGGGGGGATGGGAGAGCAGAGTGAGAGAGTGGGGGATGGGAGAGCAGAGTGAGAGAGGGGGGATGGGAGAGCAGAGTGAGAGAGTGGGGGGATGGGAGAGCAGAGTGAGAGAGTGGGGGGATGGGAGAGCAGAGTGAGAGAGTGGGGGTGGGAGAGCAGAGTGAGAGAGTGGGGGGTGGGAGAGCAGAGTGAGAGAGTGGGGGATGGGAGAGCAGAGTGAGAGAGTGGGGGGTGGGAGAGCAGAGTGAGAGAGCGGGGGATGGGAGAGCAGAGTGAGAGAGCAGGGGATGGGAGAGCAGAGTGAGAGAGGGGGGGTGGGAGAGCAGAGTGAGAGAGGGGGGTGGGAGAGCAGAGTGAGAGAGTGGGGGATGGGAGAGCAGAGTGAGAGGGGGGGGTGGGAGAGCAGAGTGAGAGGGGGGTGGGAGAGCAGAGTGAGAGAGGGGGGGGTGGGAGAGCAGAGTGAGGGGGGGGTGGGAGAGCAGAGTGAGAGAGTGGGGGGTGGGAGAGCAGAGAGCAGAGTGAGAGAGTGGGGGGTGGGAGAGCAGAGTGAGAGAGTGGGGGGTGGGAGAGCAGAGTGAGAGAGGGGGGTGGGAGAGCAGAGTGAGAGAGGGGGGGATGGGAGAGCAGAGTGAGAGAGGGGGGTGGGAGAGCAGAGTGAGAGAGTGGGGGATGGGAGAGCAGAGTGAGAGAGTGGGGGATGGGAGAGCAGAGTGAGAGAGTGGGGGGTGGGAGAGCAGAGTGAGAGAGTGGGGGGTGGGAGAGCAGAGTGAGAGAGTGGGGGGATGGGAGAGCAGAGTGAGAGAGTGGGGGATGGGAGAGCAGAGTGAGAGAGCAGAGTGAGAGAGTGGGGGGATGGGAGAGCAGAGTGAGAGAGGGGGGGATGGGAGAGCAGAGTGAGAGAGGGGGGATGGGAGAGCAGAGTGAGAGAGGGGGGGTGGGAGAGCAGAGTGAGAGAGGGGGGGTGGGAGAGCAGAGTGAGAGAGTGGGGGATGGGAGAGCAGAGTGAGAGAGTGGGGGGTGGGAGAGCAGAGTGAGAGAGTGGGGGATGGGAGAGCAGAGTGAGAGAGTGGGGGATGGGAGAGCAGAGTGAGAGGGGGGGGGTGGGAGAGCAGAGTGAGAGAGGGGGGATGGGAGAGCAGAGTGAGAGGGGGGGATGGGAGAGCAGAGTGAGAGAGGGGGGGATGGGAGAGCAGAGTGAGAGGGGGGGGTGGGAGAGCAGAGTGAGAGAGGGGGGGTGGGAGAGCAGAGTGAGAGAGTGGGGGGTGGGAGAGCAGAGTGAGAGAGTGGGGGTGGGAGAGCAGAGTGAGAGGGGGGGGTGGGAGAGCAGAGTGAGAGGGGGGGGGTGGGAGAGCAGAGTGAGAGGGGGGGGGGGGGAGAGCAGAGTGAGGGGGGGGGGTGGGAGAGCAGAGTGAGAGCAGCTCTACATGTTGCTGATACGCCTCCTATTAAACTTCCATATCAGCCCAATAATCACTTCTTATTTCCAGACATCAGACAGTCGATTATCAGACGTCCTTTGTTGAACTGCAGCTTGTCTGTATCAGACGGTTTGTGGTCAGAACTGAAGCTAAGCTAGTCTAGTGCCAGAGAGAGCTGGGCTACTGCTTAAACTCATATTAACACAGTTTAAACCAACATTACTCCACTTCACTCTGACACCACTGTGGAACTGACCAACGGGAAAATGTTAGACCAAACATCTGACCGACTGACCAGCACACTAGCTAACTAGTTACCGTTAGCCAGAAAGTTCGCTATCAACATTACTGAAGCAGAACAAAGGAGAAACACCGCTTACCAAAAGACTACAGCTCAGTATTTCTGATTAAAGTCAAAACGTGGTGTTTAAAGTGTGACAGTCAGAGAAAACCGCGCTCTCCTGTCTGAAGGCCTGTAAAACGATGCAGCTCCAGAAAACGCGGTATCGGCTCGTCCCTCTGAGAGGCCAGTCGCACAGCAGGAGACTCGATAAGGACCAGCGCTGTATGTAGCGATAGGAAGTTCGATTCATTTTACTGAATCGGTTCTTTCGAACTATTCTGTTCAGTGAATCCAACGCCCGATTCAGCCGATTCATTAACTTACCTCGTGCTCTAAGAAGCTGAAGTTGGCTTCTACTTCGCCAGCTGCGGATTTCAAATGTTGCCGTCCCACCTTAAATAGTGCAGTAGTTCAATAGAGTCTATTCGAATTGAAAGAAGCAGTTCGAAAGAATCGGTTCAACAAGAACGAATCGAACTTTCCATAACGAGCTGTCTGTTCAAATAACGAATCAGCTTCTCATTTGAAGATGGCTGGAATGAAGGTTAAAGCAGCATCAGTTAAAGGAGTGGTTCACCTATAAATCACTTCTGGGTCAACATTATTTAAAGCATTGAAACTTCAATGGAGTTAAACACTGCACTTCTGTGAAATTATGAATGTTATAAAAATATTATTAATTAAACAATAAGGAATGATTCTGCACCAAATATGTATTATTTTCACTGGGCTTGTATATTTAAGCAGACGTCATAAAACAATGAAGTTCTTGATATTTAACAGTTTGACTAAATGAAAAGCTGATCATTTTCCATGACTGTAGTCTATGTTTAAATACACATATACAATATGTAATATATAAAAACAGGACATTTCAGCTGTGTTGGAAAACTAGGAGCCGTATTATTTTTAAAGAATTTTTCTCAAACATTCAAAGCTGGTTTGGTGTTGATCTCTCAGACTGCAGGACTAGTTAGTTGCAGAAAATCTGCTAAAACAAGAAGAAGCAGAACTGAAACCAGATAACAATATTTTAGTGAACTGATTTTCTTTACATTGCACAAACACTGACTAAACAGACCCCCTTTAACTGCAGTAATGAGCCAACATGTTTTACTCTTTGTACTTCTGTACTTCGTCCACTACTTGTGTATTATTCCTGCAAATGACCAGCTTACAGTGTGTTTTTGTAAAGCATGTGTGATTTGCATTTTAAGTATCTTAGTAATGAAAGAAAGAAGTGAATGAATTTTTTCCATTCATTAAATGACACAGTAGCCAAAAACAACACAGAACAGAAGAGATTTAGATCATACAGGATCATTAATCTGTGGATTAAACTCTGGCTATGCTGATGGGTGAAGGTCCTGTCTTATATGTAAATAACACTTCAAA